TTAAGTTTATGTTTCAGAAGAAAGTTGTAGACTTCAGTACATTTAATTTAATTTAATTTTATTATTTTTTTGGAATTAAAGTACAAGTTTACTTCACTGCAAAACAATTTTGAAATCCATGCATAGTTTTTACATAATACTCATTTTCCATGAACTTTTTGAAACCCCCCCACATACAAATATATTCCTCTTTACTTTCTATTGAAATGATATAGAAACTATTAGTAGGTGAACATAAGTTTAAATAACACTGTGTATAAAGCATACTTCTATTTCTAAGGTCTTGATTTAAATATAATATTTATGTACTAGTTTCTCCATAGAAAAGGAAGTTACTTTAGTTTTAAGACTGAAATTTTAAAATTTATATCTCAAAGCACTTTTTGAGGGAAGAAAAGTCACAAATGATTAAAGCAACCATTTAAAATACACATCGCTATAATTAAAGAGTATTTAGAAATTTGTATTCATTGTACTCATAATGGGTAATCAAATTCAATTAGTAAGAAATCTCTGGGACTTGCCCCCATGGCACAGTGATTATGAGCTGTGCATAGGAAACCTGATCCCACATGGCTGAACACAGTTCAAATCCTGGCCCTATGGCTTGAAAAACTCACTTGCGCATGAACACTCAAAATCTTGGTGGGTTGGACACTGTATGTCCCCACTTAATATATACCGAGTGTCTGCACTCTATGACCAAAGCTGACTGACTAAAAGATATACAAACAAAAGAGATGGGTGTGAATGCCAGATGTGGTGTGTGTGGAGGAGTGGAGTCTAGGGAAGGACATTTGGAGGAGGGTTACCGAGGCAGAGTATTTACGGGATGAGTAAAATTTTTGTGATTTTTTAAATTTATAAATACTAATTTTCTCTGTAATTAATGATAATTTAATTTCTTCTTTGCAATATTTAATCTGTTACTCATATTTCATGTCCCATTACTTAGCACAGAGTTATTTCACTGTCTTTTTTTCTTGCCTAAGATTTTTTTTTAAATTCTCTTTTAATTTTTACATGTAATTGTTAATTCATTTGATAAATTCCATTTAAAAAATATTATTCTTTGGATTCACTTAATATATACTAACTGTCCACACTCTATGGCTGAAACTGAATCACTAGAGGATATAGAAACATAGAAAATAGTTATAGTTACCAGATACCACATAAATATACAGTGTGAGGAGAAGGTGGGAGAAGGAGGAGAGTCTAAGGAAAGACATTAAGAGGAAAAATAGAGGCAAGACATTTATGAGACAAAGAAATATGTTATTATCTTTTGATAATAACAGATATAGTAACCCCAACTGGACTAGTAAGGAATGTATTCATGTTGGAACATTCACTTTACAAGCTAAGTGACATATCTGATTGAATGTATAAAAGAAATTAAAATTAAATTAATTTTTTTAAAAAAAGGATTGCACTAAAATCACAGTATATATGTTTTACTTGGGTCCCTACTATTAAAATTATATTTGCCTATAAAATAATTAGATTTAAATGAAAAATTGCCACTATCACAATTCTTATTTAAAAATACAATCATTTTTCAAAACACCAATATATACCAAAAAAATGAAATAGAAAATGTATTAGAAGAACATTATTACATTTGAAGTTTAGACATACCATGTTAAAACATGCAGTTTTTTCCTGACTCTGTCTTTTACAAAGAGGTAACATTAGGGAAACAGTAGTTAGCGTAATGGCTGTGTCACTGAACTCCCACGTAGTCGATCGCGGTTCGCGTCCCAGACCCAGTGGCTTAAAACACGCCGGGCACGTGTGCGTGCATGCCCAAGATCCCGAGAGGAGAATGGAGGAGAAGGGATTGTGGCGTGACCATCCCCCCCGGGAGGTGATTTCTCGCTTTGTGTTTTCTCCGTCTTTCTGTGTCTGTCTGGCGAGTGCACGCATTGTTTGTTCTACATACTCAACATTGGAAGATGAACAACTTGTGATGATCAATGTAACACTAGTTCTAAAGAGGTGACTTTATAATAAAATCATAGAATGTTGGTAAAAAATATATGTAAAAACACTAATATAGGCCTCTTATACTGATGATACATATATTTTTATTTTTATAGAAAAATTTCTTTGAGAAAAAAATCAATTTTAATATAAATTTTATGATTGGAAGCAATAAGTGGACAGTGGTGGATTTCAGTTGTTGCAATGAAACAGCCTTCATGTTTCCAGTAGGATCCTCTCTGAATAAGGTTATTAGTCTTTGGAAAATAACACATGGCCTCTAGTGACTTGGCGATAGGAATTATCTTCTTATCCTAGAGAATTTCTTTCTTCTTTACCATTATAGTTTCTTCTATTTCACCAGATGCACAGTAAAGTCTACAGATCTTATTATCAATCACCTGGCTGTAGCCAAGTCCTTGGTCATACTCTTTGAAAGAGTTCCACAGACAAAGGCCCCTTTTGTGTTGAAACATATCCTGAGTAATATTGCATGCAAACTTCTCTTCTATGTTCATAAAGTGGGCAGAAGTGTGTCTATGGGCAGCATCTGCCTCTTGAGTGTCTTCCAGGCCATCACTGTCAACCCCAGGGACTCCAGGTGCGCAGAGTTGAAGCAACACACTCTCAAATATGTTGGACCTTTCAACATCCTCTCCTGGGTCCTGAACATGCTGGTCAGTATGTTTGTTCCTATGTATGTGTCTGGCAAGTGAAACAACAAAAACAACAAGGAAAAGGAAAGTGATTGTGGGGACCAGCAGTTAGCATAATGGTTATGTCGCTGGACTCCCATGTAGTCGACCATGGTTCAAGTCCTGGACCCGGTGGCTTAAAACTCATGCCGGGCCCATGTGTGTGCATGCCCAAGGTCCCAAGAGGAGAATGGAGGAGAAGGGATTGGGGTGTGGCCATCCCCCCAGGGGGTGATTTATAGCTTTCTATCTCTCTGTCCCTCTCTGTCTGTCTGGCCAGCGCACATGCCCTATAGCAAAAGCCTCTCAAAAAAAAATAGATACTGTTCCGGAGCTGTTAGCAACAGGACTACACAATCACTATATAATTTTCTGTTATTATCCTATGATGTTTTGTATTTGGGACTCATGTTCTGGGCCAGTGGCTTTATGGTTTTCACACTGTACAGGCACAAGCAGTGTGTCCAACACATTCATGTGACCAAACTCTCTCCCAGATTGTCTCCTGAGTCCAGGGTCACTCAGAGTATTCTTGTTCTAGTGAGCACCTTTTCATCATGTTGTTTTTGAGAGGGGCATATGCGCTTGCCAGACAGAGAGAGACAGAGAGACAGAAAGCGAGAAATCACCCCCCAGGGGGGATGGCCACGCCACAATCCCTTCTCCTCCATTCTCCTCTTGGGATCTTGGGCACACATGCACATGCACCCGGCATGAGTTTTAAGCCACCGGGTCCGGGATGCGAACCATGGTCGACTACATGGGAGTCCAGCAACATAGCTATTATGCTAACTGCTGGTCCCCCTTTTCATCATTTTATACCTTCTCCTCAATCGTTTTATTACACATGTCTTTTTATAAGTGTTGGTGGCTGGTGAACAGCTCTGCACTAATCACTGCTTGTTTTCCTACATTTAGTTCTTTGTTCTCATGAGCTATGACCCCAGATATTCAGGCTCAGCTCTGCCTGCTATTAGAGGAATACAGAGTTCCTAAGCTGGTCAGGTAGATCTACATTTTGTGTAATTTGTCTTGTTTTTCTTAACAATGTGTAGCCACCTGTTTGCTTTTTATTTTTTTCTTGCATGATTTTAAGCTCCATGATGAGTTGTCACAGAACAAGAGGACATGCAAACAGACCAGTTCTCTGCCCTCATGGACTTATCATGTGGTAGAAGCTAACATTTTGTAAAATGCTATTACAGTTTCTATTTTACAATATTAAGTGTTAAAATGGATAATGTTAGTGACCAAGAATTCATAATAAATAGGACCTCTACTAACTTGGAGACAATGCAGAATTTATATGAGTATTTAACTTTAATTAAAAATGCCTTTCAATTAATTAAAAATGCTTTTCAAATGGCTGTACAGAAGTATGAGGAATGTAAGTGTAGGGGCCAGCAGGTGTTACACAGGTTAAGGCAGCTGGGTCCCACATGGCCAGTTGCACAGTTCAAGTTCTGGACCCAGTGACTTGAAAAGCATGTTAGGTGTGTGTGTGTGTGTGTGTGTGTGTGTGTGTGTACTGAAAATCCCAAGAGGAGAATGGAGAAGGGACTGAAGTGTACCATTCTCCCTGGAGAGTGATTTAGCCCTTTCCCTCTCTGTCTCTTTCTCTCTCTGGC